CCAATTCTATCAATTCCACATGTGTGCTCTTAAGCCACTAAACTATATACTGCCATGTATCCATAATTCATCATCTGCTTGGGTTTTGCTACTCAAGGATAGAATCAAACCTTCAGAAATGTGAATGATCACAGCAATTGTTACGGACTGTGTAAGTGTCAGGAACTATTAATATAATACACATTATCCTATAGAAACCTCTTAGAGATCCAACCCATGCCAGCAAAGGAAAGTCTCTAATTCCTCTGCTTATTTTACCAATTTAAAAACAATACAGAATGACCTTCCTGAAGTGTCAGCATCACAATGCGAACAGAAGCCCAGTGGATTTTAAGTCCATAATGACAACGGTAAATCTTAAGTGCAAGAAATCATCTAAGGCAGGTCTATTCTGCCAGGCAAAATCTAAAATGATGACATGTCTGCTAGAGAAATGTCTAACACTTCAGGAAAAGAAATTTATTTAACATTCTCTTACCATAATAAACAAATTCTGGTGTGATTGCCCACCATTGCCAAATCCTTTCTCCAGAAAGTGCCCCGACCCATGGGATGTATATTATGGGAGGACCATCTCATCTGAGCATCGCTATTTGGACATAGGGTGAGGAAAGAGCCTGGCTCAGGCTAAACATGAGGTCTCTCCAGCGAGTTGGAATGGAGACACCAAAACTCTGATCTTTCTGCCGGATATGTGAAAAGGCAGATCATTAACACCAGGGCTAAAGTGACCAAATGTACCCCAAGAAAATCTGACTGGGAAGGGAGATGAGAATGAGACAGAAATGCAGAACAGAAAAAAGATGAGAGATCCTCCTGAAAGAGTGAGGAGAAATGTCAGTTCCCAACTTTGTAGTTCCTGGTTGCAGGTTCACAGAAGGTATGAGCCCTACTCCGCCAGGGAAATCTGTGAGATACCTTTTAGGCTCTGAGTAACTTCCCCTTTATACTGAGCTGGATTTCTCCTGCTTGAAACCAAATAACTTAATTTTGTTAACTTAGCATCTAGTAGGCAGGGCCATCTCAGCCCAGGCAAAAAATAAATTCCTATAGATAAGAAAATATTTTGGCCGGGTGCGGTGGTTCATGCCTGTAATCCTAGCACTTTGGGAGGCTGAGGCAGGAGAATCACTTAAGGCCAGGAGACTGAGACCACCCTAGGCAACAGCAAGATCCTGTCTCTACAAAAACAACTTAGCCGGGTGTGGTGGCACACGCCTGTGGTCCCAGCTACTCAGGAGGCTAAGGCAGGAGGATGACTTGAGCCCAGGAGTCTGAGGCTGCAGTGAGCTATGATGACACTGCTGCGCTCTAGCCCTGGCAACAGAGTGAGATCCTGTCTCAAATAAAAAAAACACATTTTAAATATCATGGCTGTGAATAATATGATCATTGCCACAAAAGAAAATGGAGAAAAGACTTGGGACCAAAATCTTGTACTAAAACAATCAGTTCATTGAGCCATTTTAGCCAAGTAGTCAGTTGTTATAAAATAAACTTTCTGTATGAAAAGATTCTAGGTTAAGAGTCAAAAAAATTGGCTTGCAGTCCTGGTTTTGCCATGAATTTACTAGTGTCTTTGGACAAGTCTAGTCCTGATTTCCTAGTTTGTAGAATGAGAGGCCGGATTATATATTTTCTCAGGTCCTGTTCATCTTACAAAGATAGATTTCTGTGAAGAGAACGTGGGGTGGAGAGCTTCGGGAGAAATCTAAGTAGTGTAGGTTTTTACGAGATCATGTGGTCAGTCATAAATGCTGGCTTGAAAACCAAGGTCACTCACCTTTATCTGACACTTTAATCAGCAGACATTTCCTGTGATATTACAATGAGTGCAAATAAACTAATGCAACTGATTTCTTTCTTGGATTGTGAAAAATACTCTTGTTACAGTCACGCTTCATACATCTTAACAATGAAATGCCAACTTCTAATTGTTACAGTTGTTGTTACGGGGTCAGATGGGGATCTGGCATTTTAGACTCAAAGGTTTAAAAATACATATTACTAACTTCTCAGATTACATGGTTCTCATTGTCCTCCAACCCTCTACCCTAATATTTTAATTAAACATATCTATTCATATCACATTATGACAGTCTCAGATCTAAACAAATGACATAAATATGTGATATTCACAAATACAACATGAGGGAAAGGGGATTGATGGAAGTTCCTCTTGCCTGCCGAAAATATTTGACTCTTCTCTCCCGATTTAGGTATATAGCATGTGAGCACATGTGGTAATATAACTGTCTGTACATACTTGTAGTCTCGTTTATTTAAAGTTGCTCTCAGAGGGAACTAATACTCATCACTCAGTAAAATGAAATTAGAATAATTCTTCACAGCTCTTTC